TCCTAACAGTGAGAACAACTAATCGGTGGGACAGAAGTTGCCTCCAGAAGTTGTGGCTGCTTCATCACTGGAGATTTTTAAGAAGAGACCGGACATCCACTTGTCCAGAATGCTGTAGGGTCCCTGCTCGAGCATGGGGTTGGACTAGAAGACCTCCAAGGTCCCTTCCAACTCCTGTTATTCTCTCATTCTAATTCTGCTTTCCAGAAGGGTGCCGGGGGGGGGCGGATTTCTGCAGGGATCTGGACCCTCCTTGGCTTTGTCCTCCGGCTGGCTGAACAGAGCCCACACAAACACACACACACACACACAGAGCAGGGCTGGCTGGCGTGTGCCGCTTCCCCACTCTGCCTTTTCATGTGGCTTTCCTTCTCTCTCTCTCTCCTAAGCCCCCCGTGTGGTTGCATCAGGACTAGGCAGCTCATGCCTCTTTCTGCTGACTCACAGAGTAAGTGGCTGAAGGGAGGGAGGGCGAAGAAACCCCAGAGCTCAGGCCGTCCACCATCCCCAGGCAGGGAGCCGAAGCAAGGAGGAATCTCTCCGGGGGCGTTGTTGTGAGTGTGTCGGTGGCGCTGCCTGCTGTTCTCCTTCGGCTCTTTTCCCTTCGCCCCTCTCCCCGTGCCGGGCACCTAAGGTGGGCTGCATCTTGCCCTTCGGTCTGGATCGTGGAGAAGGCTGTCATTGGGAAATGGGGGGGGGGGGGCCTGAGAAAAAAATCTCCCGGGGGGGCCTTGGGTTGGGGGGAGGGGCAGAGGGGGGGTCTGCAGGACTGGAGAAATGGGGAGGGGTCCCTTTGTGGGAATTTGGAGGAGGGGGGTCTGCATGGGAAGAAAGTCAAAGCGGGGTGGGATCTCTTGCTTGAGTTATTTTGGTCCAGTTTTGAGGCGGGCAGGACCGAAGGTGGGAAGTGGTTTTCTGGGAAGCTTTCCGGCTGCCCCCCCCCCCCCCCCAAGTTGATTCGGGGCATCTGGAGAACGGAGCTTGCCTTGAAAGAAAGCCAGTAGATTTCCCCCTTAAGGGCTGGTTGTCACCCTTTTGAGAGTGCATAATTTGTCAAGGAGGGATTCCGCGGAAGGTGGAGAGAACATGGCTGTCCAGTTATGGTCCTCTGCCTCTCCTTGCACCGATGGTCCCTCCCACCCTACACGTCCCTAGAGACTTTTTTATTATTATTTTTATTTTCACGGGCTTCTCTTTATGCTGTGACGTGATTCCATTCTTCCTCTCTCGGTCTGCGCTGTTGTTTTCTCTTTCCCCTGGACCTTGAATTTGGATGGTAAGAGAGGCGCCTTCCTCATCCTGCTGGCCTTCACCTTAGGTAGATAATTAATATAAACAAGGTCAGCGAAATAAGATGAAATCACGGAATCGCAGCCATGCTGGCCAAGGGAAGGGACCGCTGAAATTCCACACAACTTGGAGGGGCGCCAGGTTGGAGAAGGTGGACCAAGCCCTCCTCAACTCTTACCTTCTTCTAAGTCTCCAGATGTTTAGTCATCGATGCCCAGAATCCTTAGCAATGGCCATGCGAGCTGAGAGATTCTGAGAGCTGAGCTCCATATCTCTGGAGGCAGCTTTCAATTTCCAGATTTCCTAGCGATGACTTTCATGTTGTCATGTCTGAAAATTTTGGGAGTTGATGTCTACGCATCTGGGCCATGTTTCAAGTTTGAGAAGGTTTTCTCAACCTGTCAACGCTTGGAGTGGGGGATCACAGCACTTGTTCCCCCTTATGATTCTGGATCCCAATTGCGCCCCCCCCCCCACTTTGCAAATAAACCTCGTTTTCTTTTATTGGTGAAGACCAAGCCTAGCCAGAGAAGCTATTAAACTGCAGCATTTCACAGCAGGCTGCAGAATTGCATTACGTCTCTCCCCAGGGCAGAGAGCTTTTTCTCGAGGGGGGAAGCAATCGTAGGATGCCCAAAGTTTTGGCACCGGAGAGAAGAATACATTTACGGAAGGAATCTCCCCTTCAATGGGCAGCATCCCTTCCCTCAAAACAAGGCTGGCTCAGGAGTTTGCATTGTGCCAAGGGGCACATTTCTGCAGCCGGCCGGGGCGGGTGGCAGCGTTTCTCGGCTGAACAAGGAAAGGACTGTCTTGGAGAAAGATGGCGTTGGGACACAGATGCCACCTGGCGGGCATGCCAAATGCACACCCCAAATTAAGAGCCAAACGGGATGCAGTTGCTGGAGAAATTTCCAGGGCCTTTTCCTTCTTAACACGAGAAGAAGTTCTAGACCCCTCTGGGGGTCCGGAAGGTTCTCTCCCCTAACAGGGCAGCCTTCCCGATCTATTGGGTCTGCAACTCTCAGAACCGGCCACCAGTGGCATCTTGGGAGTTGTAGTTCTATCTGTAAGAAGAGCATCCGTCCTGGACTTTCGAACACCGACCAAAAATTCGCCGTCACAACTTCCATTGCCCATTGTAACTTCGAACGGTCGCTAAATGAGTGGTTGTAAGTCAAGGACGACCTGTACCGGATACCCAGATTTCTAAAATCCTTCCTGGGTATCTGGAGAGCAATTTTAGCAGAGGCATGAACGCAGGATGCTGGCAGTTCCTTGTTAGCTGACCACCTTTAATTTAACCTGGTTTGATTCTGCCAGCATCTTTGCCAGTCTCGGCTGCCCGGATTTAGCCAGGTGGCTTATTATGGGATGCGCTTTCTCTTCCCTCTCCTGATACTGTTTGAATTGAGATGGTTGGCCATCACCGAATCCTGAAGGTCCGATTGTAGTGGGCTTCCCTCCCTCTTGTCCTTCCGTGAATTAAGGGAGCGTCTGTCCGAGTTTCTTCCGAAAGTTTCTTCCCCTGGCCTGAAGAGAAGCAGTGACCATCCTTGCCCTGTTTCTCTCAAGATCATTTTCCTGACTTTTCCACGCTAGAGGAAACTTTGCCACTCTATTAAGCTGCCCCCAAAGCGGCGCTTCTCACGCTTGGCACGCTCCCTTGCCACTCTGTTCGAGGTAGTCCTCGACTTACAACAGCTCATTTAGTGACCGTTCAAAACGGCACTGAAAAAAAGGACCGTTTTTAACACTTATGACTATGGCACCCGCGTGGTCACGGGGAATCAAAATTCAGACACTTGGTCAGTGACTCATATTTACAACGGTTGCAAATGTCTCGGGGGTCACGCAATCCTCTTCTGCAACCTTCTGACAAGCAAAGTCAATGAGGAAACCCGATTCACTTAACAACCATGTGACTATCTTAACAACCGCTGTGATTCGCATAACCGCTTGTGGCAGGACAGGTCATAAAATGGGACAAAATGAACAGATGTCTCCCTTAGCAGCCAAAATTTTGGGCTCAGTTGTGGTCCTAAACTGAGGACTGCCTGTATTCTGTTGTACTATTATTCTGTCCCTTCACCCTGCTTCCTCTCCTCCGATCGATTGTCTCTGAGCCCCCAATTTTAGCTGGGAGGAGGGTTTGGCTTGGATTGGGGAACCCAAACAAGCCACTTTCTTGCCAAGATGGCCCGGAAGAGTTTACGGAGAGGCCGATGAACAGAGGATGCTCCCAGCCTCGCGAACCCTTCCTTCTCTATATGTTAACCCACATAGTATGGTTGTAATAGTACTATTTATCCTCCTTATGATCTTCCTTACTTCCCCTTTTATTGCTATCATGACTGGTCCCACAGTCGGCCAGATGTTCAGACTGGATTTTTGCCTGCTTATCGAGTCCTTCCCAAGCACCCGGGATAGGCAGTTGTTGATGTTTTGTGGCGTTAGGGGTCTCGTCACGGGAATGTAAGCTATTTCGAGTAAAGCCGCCTTTTGCAATTGACCGACGGGGATTTTTGTCAATGCCGACGATAGTGTTCAAGTGGAGCTCCAGATGTTTTGCAGTTGCACCCAAGGCGCCTAATGACTGCTGGTCCTGCCTTCGCTTCCTTGTGCCACAGTCGTTCCATTTCTATCAATAAAGGTCTTTGTATGTTGTGACCTCCTCCAGTTCTTTCTCTTCTCTTCTGCTGTCCCCGGGAACTGCCATATCCATTATCCAGACTTTTTGGGGGGGTCTTTCTTATCAACAATTGTAAAGTCCAGGGTGTTACCTGGCAGGTGCTTGTCTGTTTTCATTCTAAAGTCCCAGAGTTTTTAACTTCTTCGTTTTTCTATGAACTGAGCCCCCCAGTTCTTGCTTGCAGGCAAATGGTATTTCTCACATATCTTCCAACGCATTATTATTATTATTATTTACTTTATTCATTAAATATGAAACTCAGTCAGCTGAACATTTAAAAATGCATCACAAATACCATTGACTGGTGCTAATGGTTGCTGCCAGCGTCCTAGGGCTCAACCAAGGACCTTCTTAAGATGTACCATGTTCCGAGTAGCGCAGTTTTTTGCAGTTCCGCTGGTGTGATTGCAGGAAGCTGCAATTTGCTGATTTATGTTATAAAATTCTTGGACATGGTACCAAGTGCCCCGATGACAGTGGGTATCACTGTGACATGTTTCATCCATAGCCGTGTAGTTTCGATGGCCAGGTCGCGATATTTAGTGATTTTTTTTCCCGGTTCTTTTTCTTCGACTCCGGCATCTCCTGGTACCGCGATGTCAATAAATTGTACGTTTCGGTTTTCGACAACTGTGATATCTGGCGTGTTGTGTTCCAACTGACGATCCGTCTGTATTCGAAAGTCCCACAAGATCTTCACCTTCTTATTTTTTATAACTTTTTCCACTTTATGTTCCCATGACTTTTTGGATGCAGGAATATCGTATTTTTTACATAATGACCAGTGGATTAATTTAGCAACTCGGTCGTGTCTAGCTTTGTAATCAGTTTGTGCGATTTTGCTGCCTTCACATATTAAATGTGAATAATAATATTATTATTATTCTCACTGCTGCTTTGCATGTACGCTTCTGTGCTTCCGCACCGGAGACAAACATTCCTCGTGTGGGTCTGTCTCGTCCCGCTTGGCCAAATGAAGCCATTCAATTCAATTCAACACCTCTCCATCCAGGAGGGGGTTAACCCAAAAGCTGCATCAGCACTGCAGATTGCTTGAAAGACTTGGAACTGCTCTGACACTCCAAATGTCCTAGAGAGTGGCAGAGGAAAGGGGGAGGGGGGGGGCTTGACAATTGGCAATTCATATGCAAAACCCGCACCATAAATTCCCCTCCCTTCCCCCCCTCCCAAAAAAGTGAGAAGGTGGAAGAGGGAGGAGTGGGGGAGGAGGAGGAGGAGAAGAAGAAGAAAGCCGAAAGAAAGAAAGAAAGAACACCCCCCCCCCCCCGCACTGTTTGGCGGTGGTGGCTGGTGGGGCATCGTCTCAGCACTTCATCAGCAGGGTGCAGTATATCTGCCATCTTTGTTCGGGCTGCAGTGACTCATCAGAAGTCTGTCTTGAACCAAGACTTCACAGCATTTCCCTGGCATTGATTTCCTCACCCCCCCCCCCCCCCACCCCATCCCAGTTTCTTCCTTTCTCTCTCTCTCTCTCTCTCTCTGTGCCCCCCTCCCCCCTTTTTCCCTGCTTCGAAATTGGCATTTGCACCGGGAACCTTATCAAAGGCTGCTATTCATTGCAGGGAACTGGCTGAACCGTTCAACCACCATCCAGCCACCACCGGGACTGCCAGCCCTGGATCTTCCTTCTGCCGCCACCGCCGCCGCCGCTGCTAGAGAAATCGGACTTAGCTGGAAAAAACCAGGAGCTTCTCATCAGCCGGGCGGAGGAGGAGGAAGGGACTCCGAAGGGATGCTCGGCTGTTTCTGTTCCTCCTTCGGCCCCTTCCTCTTCCCTTTGGTTTAAGGGACCTTCCCGGGAAGAGCTGAGCTCCTGTTTTCATCCCCCGTTAAAGGTACGTCCGTCCGCGGGAAAGCAGGCAGGCAGATCTGAGCAGAGCAGAAGTTTGCTGCACGGGGGTACGCATCGCATCGGCTGGCCCCCAGGGATGGGGTTGGGTGGGGGGTGGGCAGATGCCAGGCTGGCACCCAGGGATGCAGTTATCTGTTTAGAGAGCTCCTTTCTTTTTTTCCTGGCTCTTAATTCCCTCCTCTTGGGAAAGCCGCCTCTTTCCTGACCCCCCCCCCCAGAGTTGAAATGTGATGGTGTCTATAGGTGGGTGGGCTTGGGGTTTCGATGGTGGGAGGGGGGAATTGTTGCAGCCCCAGGTAATCCCGTTTGAGGCACCAGCTGGGGAAAGGGAAGGATGGGGAGCCTCGCTCCGTCTGCCAAAGTCAAACACGCTGAATTTCTCTCGGAGGAGCTGAAGGTGGCCGCTTTCTTCTCCTGGTTATGGGTTTTGCTGCATGCGTGCGGGAAGCATCCCTTCATCCTTAAAATGCCTCAGTTTGGGGTGCCAAGCAGAGAGCCCGGCAGACGTCCACAGAAGCGCCTCCTTCCCCCTACTCTCCCCGCACCCTCCCCAAATCTGGAAGATGGGTCCCTTGTCCACTTTCTGCCTTGGGCTCCAAGGACCAAGTGCGGAAGAGGCTCCTCCGTGGAGGAGAAAAGTTTTGGAGACTTGCTGGCCCACACCAAGGAGATAACAAGAACTGATGGGGTCCATCCGAGGATACTTCTAACAGAACAACGAGAGTTGGTAGGGACATTAGAGGTCTCCTAGTCCAACCCCTGCAGAAGCAGGAGACTCTATACCAGAAGTCTTCAAACATGGCAGCTTTAAGACTTGTGGACTTCAACTCCCAGAATTGTGGGAGTTAAAGTCCACAAGTCTATAAGCTGCTAAGTTTGAAGACCTCTGCTCTATTCCATTCTAGACAAATGGCTGTTCGGTCCCTTCTTAAAAGACGACGAGAACTGAACGCCTGCCCACTGCCAGGAGTTCGATCCTGACCGGAGGTTGGCTCAACCTTCCATCCTTCCCGAGGTTGGTCCAACCAGGACCCAGATGGATTGGCTGTCTCTGTAAACCGCTTAGAAAGGGCTGTGAAGCGGGATATAAGTCTAAGCGCTATTGCTGTCATCGAGATAGTCCGAAGTGTGGGAAACTTAGTCCTAAATCACTTTTTTTCAGTGCCTTTGTAACTTTGAACGGTCATTAAATGAAATGTTGTAAGTTGAGGACTGCCTGTATTCAACTCAACCAAGCATTTTCCCTCCCTCCCTCTTCTCCTTCCCCCCTCCCTCCTCCCCCCCCCAATAGATGCACTTTCTGTTGGAGGCTGTCGCGGCGCTGAACGCGTAAGGACCGGGGGGAGACATGTCTCAGATGCTGCACATCGAGATCCCCAATTTTGGGAACACCGTGCTGGGCTCCCTGAACGAGCAGAGGCTGCTGGGCCTCTACTGCGATGTCTCCATCGTGGTCAAGGGCCAGGCCTTCAAGGCCCACCGGGCGGTGCTGGCCGCCAGCAGTTTGTACTTCCGGGATCTGTTTAGCGGGAACAGCAAAAGTGCGTTTGAGCTGCCCAGTTCGGTTCCGGCCACTTGCTTCCAACAGATCCTCTCCTTTTGCTACACGGGCAAGCTGACCATGGCGGCCAGCGAGCAGCTGGTGGTGATGTACACAGCCGGCTTCCTGCAGATCCAGCACATTGTGGAGAAAGGGACCGACCTCATGTTCAAAGTCAGTTCGCCCCACTGTGACTCTCAAACGGCCATGATCGAAGAGGCCGGCTCGGAGCCCCAGAGCCCGTGCAACCCCGTCCAGATGGCGTCCATGCCTTACGTCATGTCCCCTTCGCTGCCCATCCCGCTCCTCACCCGGGTCAAGCACGAGAACCTGGAGCAGCAGACGCCGCTGCCAGCCAAGAGGGCCCTGGAGGGGGGCCTGCGAGACACGGCGGCGGGGAGCTCCTCGAGCACCACAGCGGTGAAGCTGTCCCGCGTCTCCTACTACGGGGTGCCCAGCCTCGGCCCGCTCATCTCCAACATCCCGCAGGCTCCATATGTCCAGGGGGAGCGGACGAGTCCCGGGGCCAGCAGCATCCCAACCACGGACAGCCCCACGTCCTACCACAACGAAGAGGATGAGGAAGATGACGAAGCCTACGACACCATGACGGAAGAGCAATACGGGCAGATGTACATCAAGTCTACGGGCAGCTACGCAGGTAACCCTATTTTCTTCCCCTTCCCTGTTATTATTAACAGAATAACAGAGTCGGAAGGGACCTTGGAGGTCTTCTGCTCCATCCCCATGCTCAGGCAGGAGGCCGTATACCACTGCAGACAAATGGTTGTCCAGTCTCGTCTTAAAATCCTCCAGTGATGGAGATTCCATAAGTTCTGGAGGCAAGTCCTTCTGCTGGTTAATTGTTATAATTGTCAGGAGATTTCTCCTTAGTTCCTTCTTGCTGGGCCTTCAGGTTCTTTGGAGAACAGGTGGACCCCCTCTTCTTTGTGGCAGCCCCCCCAAATATTGGAACATTGCTATTATGTCCCCCTTAGTCCTTTTCTAGAGCTTTTGTCTACCTCTTCTGAACCCAAAGACATCTCAGCTCCTCTGCATTTATGCTGAGACAGACCTCAAATGTTGGCTTTGGCCATCATTGGGGCAACACCGAACTGTGGTTCAGGAGAGGGGTGTGTTTCTGACTTTGGGTGGAAGAAATAGCGCGCATTTGGGTTTTAACACTGAATGTTAAAAGTCTCTGGTTGTATTTGCAGCATACTCAGGGAAAGCTCAGGAGCTCTGAGATCCTGAGAAGGCCAACCAGGCACTCAGAAGAAATGGATTTGGATTGTTTGATGATCATTGTCAAATCTCTCCTCCTCCTCCTCCTCCTCCTCCTCCTCCTCCTCCTCTTCTTCTTCTTCTTCTTCTTCTTCCTCTTCTTCTTCTTCTTCTTCTTCTTCTTCTTCTTCTTCTTCTTCTTCTTCTCTTCTTCTTCTTCTTCTCTTCTTCTCCTCTTCTTCTTCTTCTTCTTCTTCTTCCTTCTTCTTCTTCTTCTTCTTCTTCTTCTTCTTCTTCTTCTTCTTCTCCTTCTCCTTCTCCTTCTCCTTCTCCTTCTCCTTCTCCTTCTCCTTCTCCTTCTTCTTCTTTTTCTCCTCCTCCTCCTCCTCCTCTTCCGTGGGTTTAAAGAGTGAGGCACAGATTCCTCAACCCCAATATTGTTTATAAGCAGTAATGAAACTGAGCCGCCTCCCTAGAGTGAAGGGCCTCTGGTGGCTGCAGGCAGTCCTCGAGTTACAACCACAATTGAGCCCAGAATTTATACTAAGTGAAACATTTGTTAAGTGAGCTTTGCCCCATTTTACGACTTTTCTTGCCGCCGTGATTAAGTGAATCATTGCATTGGTTAAGTTAGTAGCTCGGTTGTTAAGTGAGTCTGGCTTTCCCTTTGATGTTGCTTGTCAGAAGGTCGCAAAAGGGGGAGGGGGGGTGACGTGACCCCAGGGACACTGCAAACGTCGTAAATATGAATCGGTTGCCCAGCCTCTGAATTTCGATCCCGTGACCCATGGGGGTGCTGCTGCAGCGGTCGTAAGTCCGAAAACCAATTTTAAGCCACTTTTTTCAGTGCCATTGTAATTTCGAACGGTCGCTAAATGAGCAGTTTTAAGTCAAGGATCACCCGTATAGAGTTTCTCCCTCCTTTCTTTGTTCTTGCAACCTGCCTGTAGTGATATATTTGATGGAGACCTTCTGCCGTGGCTCCTGGGACAGTCCCTGCTCTATAATTAAGCCTGAGAAAAATGTTCTTCTTCAGCTTAGAAAATATATATATATATATTTAATAATGAGCGGAAGAGGCTCTGGAAATAGATACCCACTCGTGCGTGCCTAACCTGGGATTTCCTAACTGCAGGAACCGAGCCTCTGATTTGGGTTGCTGTGTTTGTCTTTCAAATTGATAAGCATCTTGGGCTATTTTAAGAGGGAGAAGCGGAAGGCAGAAATCCTTCCCCACTTGCTGGTTCCCATGAGAAACCTCTCTGGTGGGAGGGAAATGGATACTGCCCAGGGAAAGCCAGAGAGGAAGGATGAAATATCACTAACAGTGGTTGGACCAAATGCCAGTTTGTTATAACCCCCCCACCCCCCACCCCTCCCTTACAGGGAGTCCTGACTGCCATCGAGCCCAAAACTCCCATTGCCGAGTGAGATTTTGCTCCGTTTTATGCTCCTTTGGGGCTGTGGTTGGTTTGTTGTTAAGCAAATCATGCAGTTGTTAAACGAATCTGGCCGCCTCGTTGACGTTGCTTGTCGGAAGCCAGCTGGGAGGGTTGCAAACGGTGGTCATGGGATATAAATACACGTCAGCTGTCCAAATTTTGATCATGTGACCCTGGGGATGCTGCAGTGGTCATAAGTGTGAAAAACGGCCGTAAATCACTTTTTTCAGTGCCGTCGTAACTTCGAACGGTTACTAAACAAATCAGGGACGGCCTGTGCATTCAAACCTGCACATGGTTGAAACAATGGGAGGCTCAACACGAGTACAGTACAGCCTGCATTTTCAGCTGCTGCTCCTCCTCCAGAATAAATATATAAATAAAAATAATTTATGTACCAGATGAAAAATGTAGTAGGAATCCGAGCACTGCAGGACTGGCTTTCTGCCTTTAAAATCTACCCAGAATCTATTCCAAACCAGGTTGCCTGCAGAATTGTGAGCTCCCATAATTCCCGTCCAGCAATGCAGTTCGCCAAGCATCTGAATTTTGAATCCACCCGCCAAGTAATATTTATATGAAATAATCACAGATCCAGTTTGGTTTAGTGCTTAAGACACCAGGCTAGAAAGCCAGAGATGGTGAGTTCTAGTCCTGCCTTAGGCATGAAAGCCGGCTGGGTGACTTTGGGCTACTCACCAGGAGACGGGGAGTTCTAGTCCCACCTTCTTCAGGAAAGCCGGCTGGGTGACTTTGGGCTAATCAGTCCAGAAAAGAGCCGAGATGCAAGAACAGTTTTTCACAGAGACCTCCCAGTTCCCGAGTGTGACTTTTCTCCTCCGCCTCCTCCTTCCCAAGGGCCTCCAGAGAAGCCGGAGCAAATTCCCGTGGAGAGCCGCTCCTGCGTCCTCATCCGGCGCGATTTGGTAGCTCTTCCGGCGAGCCTGATTAGCCAGATCGGTTACCGCTGCCACCCGAAGCTCTACTCGGAAGGCGATCCTGGAGAGAAACTTGAATTGGTTGCAGGTAATGTGTGAACAGGGCCTGCGTCTGGGTGCAAAACGAGGCCCACTTTATGCCATGAGCCCCATAAACATTAAAAGGAAATTATGATCATCAGTAATAACAGATGAAAGCCTGAAACTCACAACCGGTGAGAAACCTGGGATTTATCAAACGGTGTAATTGCTCTGCTGGGAATTATTGATTGATTGATTTTTTTTTTAAAAAAAGCATCTAATTGAATTCCTTCACACGGCCTTGGGTCCTTAGCCTCTCTCCCTTTCTCCTCTTCCTCCTCTTGTTCCCAGGTTCTGGGGTTTACATCACCCGAGGGCAGCTCATGAATTGCCACCTCTGCGCAGGTGTGAAACACAAAGTCCTCCTTCGACGCCTCCTGGCCACGTTCTTCGACAGGTAGGATGGCCGCGTCACCTGCACAGCTCTTCAATGTTTTGACCGGGTAAAAAAATACTTTCCTACAGCCAGAAAAAGGAACGTCAAAGCACTCCGGAAACCAGGAATTGTTTTAATTTTTATTTATCTATTTTGTTTGTATTGCAGCATTCATAGTTTTACAAATAGCTCAAAGCAGTGAACATAGCCAACACGCTTTCCTCCTCCTCTTTTCCCCATAACGACCCTCTGAGGTGGGCTGGGCTGAGAGAGAGAGAGAGGGACTGACCAAAAGTCACCCAACTGGCCTTCATGGCTAAGGCGGGGCTAGAACTCACCTGTCTCCTGGTGATTGGCCCATGGTCACTCAGCTGGCTTCCATGGCTAAGACGGGACTGCGTGGGTTCCATGTTTAAACTGGGTTAGGGTGGATTAGGATCTTCCTGAAGCCCTCCGGCTCTTCTGTCCAGCAGTGGGAGATAATGGCTGGCTGGAGGTTTTGTTCTGAGATCAGAGAGGTGTCCTTGAAGCTCCCAGAATTCCCCAACCAGCAAGGCTAACTTGTAAATTGAGGTGTACCTGTAAGGAAGTATATTTTCCTGAGGTTTTTTTCTCCCCCCCTCCCTTTCTTCTGGAAACAGGAACACTTTGGCCAACAGCTGCGGAACAGGAATCCGTTCTTCCACCAGTGACCCCAGCCGGAAACCCCTGGAGAGCCGGGTGCTCAATGCTGTGAAATGTAAGTAGGAGGAGGATACGAGTGGCCCTTTGGGCCCAGCTAGGTGGGAACAGGGAGCTAAGGAGGGAGGCAGGGAAGGAGGGAGAGAGAGAGAGAGAGAATAGAAGATATATGATTGATAGAGAGATAGAGAGGTAGATAGAAAGATGATAGATAGATAGATAGATAGATAGATAGATAGATAGATAGATAGATATAATTACATAGGTGGATGGATGGATGGATGGATAGATGATAGACGGACGGGCAGGGACTCTGAAGCTATCCCCACCATGATCTGTCTAGACAACCAGAACTCTCCTCAAAGTTCTTTCATGCCCTTGATTTCTTGATCCTCGCTTACCGGACAGCACTGAGGGAAACCTCCCCTGGCCGTAATTGCCCAGCCCGCTCCTTGAGCCCCCCTCACAGCCTCTTCCCTCCCTCGGCTAAACGCTCTCCCCTCCCCCCCTGTCTTTGCAGTGTATTGTCAGAATTTTGCCCCCAGTTTCAAGGAAAGCGAGATGAACGTCATCGCGGCCGACATGTGCACGAATGCCCGGCGAGTGCGCAAGCGATGGCTGCCCAAGATTAAGTCCATGCTGCCCGAGGGGATGGAGATGTACCGGTCCGTCATGGGTTCCACCACCGCCAACGTCCTCCTGGACCCCGAATTCCAGCCTTCCAGCGCTCAGATGTTTGAACAACGGATCTATGCGGAAAGGAGAGGGGATTCTGGGACGATTGTGGCCCTCAGAACTAACACCGTCACGGTCGACCAGAGCAACGGGACGGCCCCCTTGTTCGAGCCGAGCGAGGAGGGCGAAGGGGCCAGCTCGGTCATCCAGGAGTCGGCCGGCCCAGAAGCCATGGCTTCCGATACCCAAAGCACCTCACAGCCCTTTGAAGAAGGATCGGGGTCCCCCGCCCGGCCGGAAACTCCTGCGGGGCGACCGGAAGCGACCTACGGGGCCCCCTTATGAACCAGACCACCAAGGGTGGGGAGTCGCTCTCTGGAAGGATCTGTAATCCTAAAGCTGCTTGCATGTTCTTATTAATTAGAAAAGAAACAAACAAAAATCAACAACCCCCCATATGATCAAACCATTTACCTACTGAACTGCTACCGTTGCCTGAGAAAATTTGATTTTTTGAGTCTGCTCGTGTTTTTTAGGATCGACGAAGTTGCCACCAAGGTGGGAAGAGCCCCTTTGTTTCCCAGATTGGTACAGAAAGGAGTAGCGGGGGTTCCTTTCCTTCCCCCCCCCCCCAAAAATAAGGAACGAGGCTCTCTTCACCCGCCTACCCACCTCACCGCCGTCCTGTTTAGCAGCAAAGAACCGGCCATCTGGTCTTGGGAGAAGTTAGCTGTGATCGTTATCCTGGTTTGATTCACTTCAGTTTGACGCAGGTCCTTGGCTCAGATCTATCTTGCATTGTTGAGCAACATGGAAAAACTCCCTGAACCACCATTGTAGTAAACGGGGAGCTACGTTCCCCACACTCGTGGACATAAAAAAAGTTGGGATATCTTTCCTCTCCTCTCCTCCAACTTCTCACCCGTTTTCTCCTTGCGTTTTCTTCCCTGGTTCCCGGAGGGCAGGACGAGACCAACCTCAGTCTGGTCCCCTGGCATGCTTGCAAAGAAAATGATGACTGGCTTCCTTTCCCTTTGCGAGGAAGCTCTGGCCCGAAGGCATTCTGGGTTTGAGGTAGTTTTGAGGTACCTCTGTTTCCTACCTAGAGCAGTTTCAAACTTGGTCACTTTAAGGCTTCCAACTCCCAGGATTCCCCGGCCAGCACGGAATTCTGGGAGTTGAAGTCAATCCGTCTTAAAGCGACCGCCAAGATTGCAAAGCATCGGTCTAAAGTCATTTGGATCAGGTCCTGCTTAGTTGCTCAGGGCAAAATGGAGATTTTGGGGGGTGGGGGTGATGCATGGTGGGAACCATAGGCTTTTTGGCTCTTTCTCCCAGGAATGGGGGAGCTGCTTCTAACGAAATGCATGCCGTTTGGCCACGGAGGTTACTGTAGCTCGCATGGATTCCCCCCCCTCACCCCCCCGCCGCTGTGTTTGAATCTAACTTTACGAGAGAAATGAAGAGCCTTGGTGGTGCAGCGGACTAAGTGCTGTTAAGTGCTAGCACTTAGCTGCCAGCTGCCTGCAATTAGCGCGAGTTCAAATCTCACCAGGCTCAAGGTTGACTCAGCCTTCCATCCTTTCGAGGTAGGTAAATTGAGGACCCGGATTGTGGGGGCAATAAGCCAGCTTTGTATAGAACAACGCCGCTTAGGGGGGGCCGAAAGCCCTAATAAGCAGGTATATACATAAAAGTATGCAGGCTATTGCTATAATGCATTGTAAGCTGCCCTGAGTCTACGGAGAAGGGTGGCATATAAATTGGACTAATAAAATAAATTGCTCGCTTTGCGTCGGGGATTATGCGCCCTAGGCGAATAGCCGGCTTCGGATTTCCCCCCTCCTCCCCCCAGTCCATTCGGTCATTCTCCCAATCTACGACGGGAAGACCTAATCCTGTTGTGGCGGCTGAGCTTTGCTTTGACAAGGTTGAGGTTGCGATAGGCATTACAGCTGCCAGCTGTGGCTGCTTTGCTTGGCATTGAGCTTCAGGGAGATGAAAGAAGAGCCTGCCTCCTCTTGGGGATTTCAAGGACTTTTCAATTTATTTTCCTGGCAGCAATAAGAAATTAATTTAAAAAAAACAAAACAAAAACCTGCCCCAGCCCAGCTTACAACGACGAGATCTCCGCGTGGTCTCCTTTCCCTTCCCCTAACCAAATCCACCTGCGCTTAGCTTCTTTTGCCGTCGGCCACGGGGCTGATGGCCCATCCACCCTGCCCCCCCTCCCCAGTAGCTGTCGTAGCCCCCACCTACCCACCCACCCCTGGTAAAAGTCGCAGGACGGAAGCAAATACTTGAACGGCTCAGAACAGGATCCGAAGAGAGCATCGCGTTGCACAGTTCGAATATATTTTTGTACCAAGCACAATTTTATGTACGTCTTTCTTTGGGGGGGCGGGCGAGTCGTTGGGAGGGAGGGGGAAGAGTCAGGCTTTTGACTGTCAAGACGAGAAGGAAAGAGGGAAAAGGAAAAACGAAGAACCTGAAGACAATGTGAAGAGTTTTAAGGCAGGGTGGGGTGTTCCCAGTCTTTGAATGGGGAGGCCAGCCACTTGCACTAAATGACCCCCGAAATGTGAGGCGGGGGTCCTTGGTGGCCCCCCTCGGAGGCTTTTCTCCTTCCCAGCCAGAAAGGAAAACGGTGAGAACCCCTCCCCTCCAAAAAAAAACTCTTGGCCATGAAGGACCTCGAAACAAAGGGGGAAATTAATCACAATCTGGTTTTTTTCTCAGTGCCTTATCCTATTCCTCCCCATGGAGAAAAAAAAAAAAGGTTTGATTTCAATAGCCTATCAAATTCCTTTCTCCATTCCTCCCCCCACCCCCCATTCATTGACCATGCCCTTCCCCAACCTGGCGCTCCCGTCTTGGGTTGGATTCCGACCCCCATGCTTCCCAGCCAGGTGACTCCGGGAAGGGCATCGGTGCCCGGAAGTTGTTCTCGGACTGTAACGATGCATCCTGTGTGAGGCGGGAACGACCCCCCCTCCCCCCGTAGATTTAACCTAGGAAAAGAGAAAATACGTATTTATGGTATGTCTGCACCTTTATTCTGAATGCTTGACTGTTAGCAATATTACCTGTGTATATTATATTATATATATATATATATATATAAATATTATATATGTATATGAAAAGTTATATCAAGCACCTTTTTAAAGAAGAGAAGACTGTAAAAAGAAAACTCGGATGGACTTTAGCGATGGCCACGATTGGGAAATCCTGGTAGGAGCTCGTCCCATTTTCTGGGATTTTGCGGGTCTCCGGCGGCCCTTCTCCCCAATCTGTAGTCTTCACTTCCATGGGGGCGGACAGGGGAGAGGGGCTGCCCTCCGAAGCCTCCCTTTGGGGTCTACCACAAAGCCCTTGACAAATTGAAACTTAAGGTTCCAGAAATTCATTTTCATTCCAAAGTCGGTATTAAGCCATATTCTGGACATTGATCATTGGTTTCCTGTTTCTCTTTTTGCTTTAATTTCTTCAGCGGGAAATGCTTTAAATTCTACTCTGAAATTGCTGTAGAAGCAATCTGGAATGTTAAAATAAATCATATCACACAGCTAAACCAACCTTCCTTCCTTCCTTCCTTCCTTCCTTCCTTCCTTCCTTCCTTCCTTCCTTCCTTCCTTCCTGTTGCCTTCATCTCCTCCTTTCTCTGCCTCCCTCCCTCTCCCTCCTCCTATCCCCTCCTCTTTCTTTCTCCTCTGTTCCTTCTTTCTTTCTGATTTCCTTCTCGCCTGTCCTCAGATTTGCTCTTAGGGTTTCCATTCCTCCGTTTCTTTTTCTCTTTCTCCCTGTGTTCTCTCTTTTTAAACGTGTGTCCCCAAAGCAACTTGGCTCCAAATTGACCTCAAGTTTAAAATATCGGGCCCTTCTCTCACCGGCCCCCAACTACAGCCCCAAATTGTGTTTTTCTGCTGTATCCCCCCCTTCCCCCCCCCAATGTGGCCTTAAGAAAGACACCTGTAGATCATCCTTAGCTTTACAGGCATAAAGTTTTATTTTTCCTGCCTGTTTGCATCCGATGCCCTCCGAGTGTAGCCCCAAGGCTGCTGGTTCTGTCACTCATTTTCTTGGGGCGAAACCTGGCAGCCATTGGGGCAAGCAGTCTCCCTACTTGCCAGGTGGTCTCAAAGAGAGGAAGAGACCCTTGCAGTTGGGTGGCAGAGAGGGCTCCCATGACTACAGCAGTTAGCCCCCTGAAAGGCTGCAGAAAACATGGCAGCTCTCTCCCCTTGGCACCGATTCCTGCAATTTCCTTTTGCAGACTTTTTGATGGCCTGCCCCTCTCTAGATAAATTACCCCCCCCTCCAAAACTGGTTGCGTGGAGCCCTCTGCAGGACTGATGCCATTCCCAGATGTAGTTCCATGTGCCCAGCTATTGCAGAGATGGCCGCACCTTTCTCGAGGACATCTTTGCTGGACAAAAGGCTCAACCCATCACATTTCTGCTGTAGCTGCCCGAAAGGCACAAGGACAGAGGGACATATTTTGGTCTGTTCTTCCAAGATGATGTCTGAGGATCAGTTCAGCAGTCGTAATAGTTGCAGTGAATTTAAGGCTCCTTTTGGGGTCGGGGGTGGTGGTGGGGTAGATTAAAAAGTTGGGAGGTCCAGAAATGCAAAATATAAATAAACAAATTAAAAAGTCTATAGAGATTCTCAGTCATCCAAGTCATGGTTGTCCCAAAAGGGCTTTTCAAGAGGCACCTGCCACAAAGTCCAATTGCCTCTTGAAAAACACCTTTGGGATAAATAAAAAAAGGGGGGGAAATCCATTTAATGTCCATATTCCTATACTTCCTGCTGTGAAAACCCCTTTTATCCAAATTTGCCAAAACCTCTTTTTTGCTAGGATAGAAGCAACATTCACTGGTGCTTCGAAACTTCTCCAAACCTTTTAAGGCTCAAATCTGCTCTCCCCTCCCCCCACCTTTTTTGCACTTTTGCGACCAAAACTGGGAGGGGGAGGGAGGGAAAAAGGGTGGGCGAGGGGGCCAAACCTTGCAATATACTATTTTTTGAGCGTTCCAAAATTATTAAAAAAAAAGAACCCAGAAGTTTATGCGCAAGTTTAACTTGAATCTTTGGATGGCACTTGAGTCTCAAAACTGTCAATCTTGGCAATTGTCGGAGAAGCATCTTAAGGGAACAACGATGTTCAAAGAGTCTGTATTAAAGTATCCAATAGTACTGTAATTCATGACTGTTAATAATAAAAAATAATAAATAATAATTCCAGTGCTTAGAGGGAAGTTTTTGCAGTGCTGCCGAAAATTACGTTTCAGCCGTGCTAACTCACTTCTTTTCTGTTGGTTGTTTACGTGCCATTTCTCTCATATCTAGCTCAAGACTGTTACGTTAAGCCTTGATTGGATGACCTGTTAAACCGTCACTGCATACAAGTTCTAAAGCAAGGTTTAAAGTCATCCCTTGGCGGAGCTCTAATAGGAGTTTCAGAGTTTGGTCAGACCTATTTCATACACCGTAAAGGAAAAAAAAAATTCCATTAAAATGTGATACTGAATGAGAAAATGCTTTGTAAAATTCACATTTACAAAATAATAAAGTATGTTGAAAATTACACCTCTTGCTCCTGTTTTTTTCCCAGCGTCTTCAAAAGCCGCTCAGAGTCGTCTGAATCACAGGATAGGCAGGAAAGAAATTTGATAAATAAATTAAAGCTTGGGATGAAGCACCCCAATACAGCAGTGCCAACAAGGTGCATTTGAATAGCATCTGTTTGTTATTATATGTTTATCCCACCTTTATTATTTTATAAGTAACTCAAGGCAGCGTAACATCCCTAATGCTGCTCCTGCTTCCTATTTCCCCCTGCAACAACAACCCTGTGAGGTGGGTTGGGCTCAGAGAAAGGGCCTGGCCCAAAGTCACCCAGCTGGCTTTCATGCCTAAGGCGATACTGGAACTCCCCGTCTCCTGGCGATTGGCCCACAGTGATGATTATTAAACGTGTATGCTGCCTGGCTCTCGGTGATTCAACTGAACAATACAACAAAGGCATTACAATAAAATAGATGCAATAAAAAATAAAGATAAAAGACACAAGTGCAATGAAGTGAGTCTCTCTCTCTTGCTCGCCCAAGACTCGGGGGGAGAGCCGGGGGTCTTCACGACTCTTGAGCAATAGCAGAGACGGCGGGACGGACCATCCAGAATTGGGGGGGGGGCAGCCTCATGTCAGAAGGCGCTTCTGGGGTCCCAACATTGGAGAATGGAAGAGGTGGCGGGGCATCAGCTGTGCAAAAGCCACCTTCCCGGATGGGCAGTTGCCCGGCAGACTTCTAACTTGGTTAGTGGGCTATATAACCCAGTTCCCGAGCTTGCACGTAGAAGGCGCCAGGCAAAGGAATGGCAGTTCCTTCCTGCCTTGTCAGGACAGCTCTTTGCCTGCAAGCCAGAGGGGCGATGCAATCGCTTAACACCTTCTCCTTCTCCTTCTCCTCCTCGTATTCCCGCAGGTGCATTCCATCTCTGTTTTGGACGTCAGCAAGGTCGCCGGCCATTGACTTCTAGTCGGTAGGCAGTCTTGGCCACGGTGGAAGGTGCTGCTCCCAGGACGGGTCCACCCCAGCAGAGTCAGCCTTCGCTCATCTTCTCTAGAATTGGTGCCACACCAAAATGTTGTCTTAACGGTGTCAGTTGTGATGCGGTCAAGAAGATGCGCGATATCAACGCCTTCCCCTGCCTGGAGAATAAGAGAATCCGTATGCAAGGGGAAGACTTGGGTGGGTGGGTGGGTGGGGGGCTTTATGGGGGTGAGCCAAAGCTGAACCCCAAATTTTGAGGATCCGCATAGAAGCGCGCTTTACGAGGCTGCAATCCCTGCCGCGGGCGCTGGGGGCAGCAAAGGGGCGACTCTCTCTCTCTCTCTCTCTCTCTCTCTCTCTGTTCCCCCCACCCACCAGCGAGGCTGCAGAGCGGAAGGGGCGGGGCTCCGCGGCCGGGACTGCAACTCCCGTGGCGCCGCGCGGCGCTCCCATTTCCGGCGCGGGGGGGGCAGTCGGTGGGGCCGGGCCGGGCCGGGCCTCGGGCCCTGAGGCGGCGGCGGCGGCGGCGGCGGCGATGTTCGTGCAGGAGGAGAAGATCTTCGCGGCGAAGGTGCTGCGGCTGCGCATCTGCGCGCTGGACGGCGCCGAGTGGCTGGAGGAGGTGGCCGAGGACACGGCCATCGAGCGCCTCAAGGAGCGCTGCCTCAAGCACGTAAGGAAAAAAAAAAAAGAAAAACCCTCCCCACGGGGTGGACTACAGAGCCCCTCATCCGCAGCCCGCCCCGGAAAGGGGCTGCCCATCATCCTCAGCCGGGGCTGCTAAGTCGTCGCCCCCCCCCTCCAAACCTGGGGCTCCTGGAGAAAAGGTGGTGGACTACATAGCCCATCTCGCTTGGCCGGCCCTGAACTGCCCAAGACCCCTTGGGGAGGGCGACCCCGGTGCCCATCATCCCCTGCCAGAAGCGATGGGCTCTCTTGTCCTTCATATGCTGTGCCCCCCCACCCCCGAGGCCATTCAGATTGGATTGACTACAGTGCCCATCATCCTCATCCTCCATCCGCGCTGCTGTCTTCACACACACTTGGGACGCCTGTCAAAGCGACCCACTACATAGCCTATCGTGTTTGACCAGGCTGACCCCTGCAACTCCTCGTGCCCTTTAGAGGGCGTTGTCCTCAGTGCCCATCATCCTCAGCCAGCACTATGGACCACCTCCATGTGGAGCTCCTGACCGGGAGTGGTGGATTACATGACCCATCATAAGGAGCCATCTAATGCCCTTCCAATGGGATTGACTGCAGCCCCCATGGTTCCCAGCCAAGACAGCTCATCTCCAGATCTGCTGGCCCTCTGGAGGTCAGGGCCTTCATCTCCTATCATCCACAGCTGGGCAGTACTTCCAATCCAATTATGCCATGCCCATAATCCTCTGTTGGCACGGCCAGACACCCTCATCCCTTCCAAATACAATGCCCATCATCCTTTGCCTGTACAGCCAACCAGGTTCCAAATCCCCCTAGAAGGCTAGACTACCTTTCTCACCCCTTCTAAGCCACCTTTCCTGGTTTGAAAAGACCCAGGACCCTCACTGAGGACCATATACTTGGCATTGAAGCTTAAAAAGATCTTTTAAAAAATTGGCCAGGGCTGGAAGGGTTTCAGTGGGAAACCCTTGATGTGGGCTAATCTCGAAAGCAACTTATCTCCCCGGTTGCTTTTTGTACCCAAGAAGATGTTTGCAGTAACCATGTTTAAAAGTCTGCATCAGCAGAAACCACTTTTGGGGGGGACGGGACTGGTGGGAGTCTCCGGGGCATATCCAGACAGCTGAATCCAGGTTCATTTTCCCTTCCCTTGTGAGAAAAACAAAGAAACTGCCTTGTTTAACAGTCAGACAGACGTGTCCCGAGCCAATCCTGACTTTGCATTTCAAAGTTATTTTGAGAAATGAATCAAAGACTGAAATAACATTCCAAGACCGAAATATCCCAAAACAGATGCTTCCCGTAAAGGAAAAAAAAATGTGCATTTAGTTTTTGGCGTCGTTTGCATATTTGTATGAAAAAATACAAATGTTTTAAGAACAAAGGTCACGCTGTTGTATAATATTTGGGATGATTTAGCTAAAGGGAATGTTGTGCTTAGAGCCAAATTTCCTTTTGTGGCTCAAAACAGAGAAACTCCACCCCTGAAATGGGCCAATGTGAGTTTTAGTGAACTTTTTGGAGGACACCAAGGGAATCTTTAGTTTGATTCTTGGTGGATTTGCCCACTTTATTTTGAGCAAAAAGGGGAAGCTCTTTGCATTTCCATTTTAATTTTGTTTTTTTTTAAAAAAAACAGGCACAGATTTTCAAAATGAACAATATTTTAGCGAATGACTGTTCCCCCTCTAGTTTCTAAAAAGCCAATCAGGTTGTTGAAAGGGATCTTAACTCAGACATTAAAGCAGAGTGGCAAGCCTTATGTTTGGGATCAGTTGCTAACATCTCCTGTCGCCTGAAAAAGGTCATCGCGGGGGAAATATAAAAATAAACCAGCCCTGACATTATCGCAGGAGAACGTCATGCGAAACCCTGTACGAACCTCATATATGTGAAGAAATTCCCATTATTTCTCTGACCGGTCTGTACAAGTAATCCAGTGGTGAAATCCATTTTTTTTTACTACCGGTTCTGTGGGCGTGGCTTGGTGGGTGTGGCTTGATGGGCATGGCAGGGGAAGGATACTGCAAAATCCCCATTCCCACCCCACTGGGGTCAGCCAGAGGTGGTATTTGCTGGTTCTCCGAACTGCTCAAAATTTCCGCTACCGGTTCTCCAGAATCTACTGGATTTCACCCCTGAAGTAATCCTCAATTTACAGCCACAGTTGGCACTGGAATTTCCCTTGCTAAACAAGCTGGTATTTAAGTGCTTCAAACCCACTTTTACAATGCTTTCGCCATGGATGTTAAGTGAATCATCCAGTCATTAAGTGCAAAAGAATGCAAAGAAGACCATCTGACAAGCAAAGTCAATAGTGAAGACAGATTCACTTAACAACCATGTTACTAACTTAACAACTGCAGTTAAGTTTCACTTAACTGTGGCAAGAAACGTCGCAAAAAGGGGAAAAACCTATTTAACAACTGTCTCGCTTAGCCACAGAAATGTTGGGCTCAGTTATGGTCGTAAGTCAAGGACTACGTGTATGCTGTAATTTTCGTTCTCCTTCTCCTCATCCTGTGTCTCCATCCAGTTTTTTTTCATTCCCCCCGGAAGAGGCTCTTTTGCCCAGGAAATGTAGTGACGAGGAGGCCGAGGCTGTTTTAAAAGGTTCACTCTCTTTCCCCTCCCGTCCATTCCCTCCCTGCAGTGCCTGCCGGGCAGCCTCGAAGACCCGAAATGCGTGACGCACCACAAACTCATCCACGCTGCTTCGGAGAAGGTGCTGAATGACACCAAGACGGTCTCGGAGGAGAACATTCAGGATCGAGGTGAGGGAATGGCTGGGGGGGAGGGTGTCACAAGGGGTTCAGAACCCACCCACCCCCTGAAATGCAGAGGATGGGAGGCAAGGTTGAACGGGATTTTGAGAGCTGTCTCAAATAGCAAGGCAGGTCCGTTTCAGCTAAATCTTTACAATCGGTATTGGCAGCAGGCTCGATTCAGGGAATCCGAATATGTAAGAGTTGAAAGGGTACTTTGGAGATCATCCAGTCCAACCTGCTTTCCACTGCAGGAATCCACCACTAGGGGATTCCCAGCAGATGGCCATCCAAGCCTCTGCTTGAACCCTTGTGGCAAAGAGCCAGTGCTCATTTGGCCATCTCTTACCCAGATAGGAACTGTCCTTCTGCCTCAGAGTGACCACAGATACTTCCCTTGGTATTTACTGGCTCCATCTTCCTTCCGTCCTTCCTCCTCTTTTTTCCTTTTACTTCCAACCTTCCTTCCTTCTTTCCTCCCTCCCTTCCTTTTTTACTTTCATCCTTCCTCCCATCTACTCTACTCTACTTCTTTCCATCCTTGACTTTTTCTCTCCCCTCCTTTCCTTCCTTCCTTCCTTTTTTACTTCATCCTTCCTCCCATCTACTCTACTCTACTCTTTCCATCCTTGACTTCTTTCTCTCCCTCGCTCCTTTCCTTCCTTCCTTCTTTCCTTTTTTACTTTCATCCTTCCTCCTACTCTCTATCCTTGACTTTTTTCTCTCCCTCACTCCTTTCCTTCCTTCCTTCCTTTTCCCTTCCTTCCTTCCTTCTTCCTTTTTTACTTTCATCCTTCCTCCCATCTCCTCTACTCTCCTCTTTACATTCTTGACTTTTTTCTCTCCCTCACTCCTTTCTTTCTTTCCCTCCTCCCTCCCTCCCTTCCTTCCTTGATCCTTTTGGCACTGGGCAAGATATTCTTTTTTCCCTTCCTCCAACTTTTTTTTGTCCTATCAAAGAAAGAAATTAAGGCAGCCATGACATCTCATTCCATTTATCTTCTTCTTGTCTCCTTAGATGTTTTGGTGCTAGTGAAGAAAAGAGCTCCACCAGCACCTCCCAAAATGGCCGATGTCTCTGCCGAGGAAAAGGTGAGTCCCAAGGGCCAGGATATGGAAAGACTTTCCGCCTTCAAAGCTGCTCTTTAGCATCTGGTCCCTCCTTTCATCCTTGGGTCGCATCACCAGCCTGGACTCTTTTACCCTGTGAGGCCAAAGTGAGCTTTTGGCATGAAAGCCGGCTGGGTGACTTTGGGCCAGTCCTTGTGTCTCAGCCCAACCTACTTCACAGGGCTGTTGTGGGAATAATAGGAGGAGGAAGGTATGTTAGATATGTTTGCCACCTTGAATTATTTCAAAAACAATAAAGGCAGGAGACAAACAAATTCATAAATAAAAGACAGGCCTCCCATCAGCTGCCCTTGGGGGAACCGGACAGCTGCTACAATCACAGAGTGGATGTTTGGAGGTGAGGGGCCACGTTGTCTGAACACGGATTCCTTTCCCGTTTAGCGGAAGCAGGAGCAGAAGGCGCCCGACAAGGAGGCGATCCTGAAAGCCACCACCAGCCTCCCCTCCCACAGCGTGGATCGGAGCGTGGCCCACCACAACATGAGAGACGTGAGTCCTTGGCTTCTCTTGGGGGCTGCCCCTTGGCCCGCTTCTCTCCAGGCCCAACATCCAGGCATCCCATAATAGTCTTGGGGGGGGAACCGCAACGGGAGGAGGCAGTCCTGTTCTTTGTACAACCGCCCGATGCTTTCGTTCGGCTGCAGGTACAAAACGCATCTGAATATGCAGAGCCCTCGACTTACGACCGGTTACTTAGCAACTGTTCAAAGTTATGACAGACCTTCCCCTCCCAAAAAAAGCTACTTACAACCCCGTTGTGATGAGATCAACACACACACACACACACACACACACACACACACACACACACACACGTACACAGTTCGTGACCATTTTTCAGCCAGTTGGAAATAGCTTGACTTTTACAGCTGGTTACATAACACAATTTCTGATGGGTCCTTTCCCTCCCCCCCCCCCCCAGCAAAAAAAAAGTCCTCAGGAATGCATTGAACTGTGGCAGGAAAGGGTGTAAAATAGGGCAAAACTCAACGTCTCGCTTAGCAACAGAAATGTTGGCCTCCATTGCGGTTGTAAGTCGATGACTATCCGTATTGTCAATTCGGATGCTTCCTTAAAAGAGAAACGACAGCCTCGGGTGGGATGATAATCCCTGCGAATTCCCAATCTGGAATCATTCCAGGGAGCAGATCCACCCCAAAGCCCCTTGGCATTTATTAACGCAGTAATTTCATCTCAACTCTAATCGAGTTCTTAAGGCATTTTGGAGGGGGGAGGCTGTGTGTGGGGGGGGAGGAGAATGGACCTTGAATATCACCAAAAATCTTCAAAGCAGGAGCTGTGAATGTCAAAGCAGCTGCAAAACAGGCAACTTTTAGGAGTGTATCCATGGAATAACAACAAAAGAGGCACAAAGTTTGTTTTAAAAGGCGAATCATCGTTCTTGAGATTCTCAAAAGCCCCAGCAAATTAAAAAAAAGGGGGAGGCAGGTACCGTGCATTAAAATAAATCAGGTAAATTGAAATTAATTTTTCTGTCCAAAGTCAGCGCTAAAGGTGAAACGCCAAGAAAAGGAAAGAGGCATTTTTGGGAGGAGGTTTCTTCGGAGATGTTAATTTTCTTCTTCCTTCTAGTTTCAGACGGAGCTTCGGAAAATCTTGGTCTCACTCATCGAAGTAGCCCAGAAGCTGCTAGCGCTGAACCCAGATGCTGTCGAACTCTTCAAGAAGGCAAATGGTGCGGGGAAAATATTTATTTATTTCTATCCCGCCTTGATTATTCAACATATTTCCAATACACCTTCCCCCTCCTATTTTCCCCACAACAACCACCCTGTGAGGTGGGGCTGGGCTGAGAGAGAGAGAAAGACTCTGGCCCAAAGTCACTCAGCCGGCTTGTGTCCCTAAGGCGGGACTAGAAGGCACCGTCCCCTGATGATTGGCCCAAAGTCAGGGGAAAAGTCAACTTTTCTTGCCACAGTTGGTTGCTAAGTGAATCACTGCCATTGCTCAGTTAGTAACACAGTTGTAAAATGAATCTGGCTTCCCCATTGACTTTGCTTGTCAGAAGGTCACAAAAGGGGGTCACATGACCCCGGGACACTGCAACCGTCATAAATAGGAGTCAGTTGCCAAGCTTCTCAATTTTGATCAGGTGACCACAGGGATGCAGCAACGGTCGTAAGTGTGAAAACGGTCATAAGTCCCTTTTTTCAGTGCTATTTTAACTTTAAACGGTCACTGGATTAGCTGTTACAAGTCAAGGACTACTAGTAACTGTGAATGGTTATTAAACGAACGGTTTTAAACTGACGACTACCTGAAAGGTGACCAGGGAAGTGGTCATAAATCAAGGACTACTTATAGATAATAACCTAGAGATTCCAGTCCGTCCTTCCTTACCTGTTGTGGTCTGCCAGCAGCCTGCGGAGCTGGCAGTGGAGTCGGACAGTGAGGAGGCTGGGGAGAAACATGGGCCAGTCCTGGAGTCTGGGGAAGGCCTGGATGAGAGCTGTGCGTTGGAGGCAGAGATGGGGCCAGGGCCACCTGGGAGCGATGCGCGGACTCCGGAGCCCCCAGAGTCAGACAGCAGAGAGGCAGAGGAACAGGAGGAGCCTGTTCCTAGTGCACGCATGCAAAGAGCTGCCAGAAGGCAAGAGCAGCTAAAGCAAAAAGGGCGACTTGGGAGTAAGGCCAGGAGATGATTGGCCCCTCCCAAAAGGCTTAAAAGAGAAACAAAGGCACTTGGGCCTTTTTGCAAGAAAGCAACATTGCTAACTCTGTTTCCAGTTGGCATCTCTTGTTTGTTTCTGAACTTCGTGGGGATTTGCCAAGTAAGGCCTTTGTCAAAGAAGGTAAAGGTTGGTGATTATCCTGAAGGACTTCTTCCGAAGGACTTGATTTGCAACTAATTGGGACTCAGCTGGGAATGAACGTAATTCTCAGGTGTTACAATAAAATAGGTTTGTTTGGGATTAATTGTCTATTGTAGTCACATTACCCAGTTTTTTTTTTCTTCCTCTAGCCATGTTGGATGAGGATGACGACGACCGAGTGGACGAAATTGCTCTGCGCCAGCTGACCGAGATGGGCTTCCCCGAGAGCAGAGCCATCAAAGCCCTTCGCCTCAGCCAGTAGGTAGCACCGTGTGTGTTTGTGTGACATCAACACATGGAACATAGGATAGGGTAGTGCTCCATTCCCCCATGATGTCGCCTCTGGGTTTGTCCTCCGCAAACAACATTTCAAACTGTTGGGAGTCTCCCCTCCTTTCCCCAAAGCCAGGGTGAGGAACGTCCCAATTGTTGGGGGGGGGGGCTTTCAGGAGGGGGGAGCTGCTTGACAGGGTCAGGAACTGGACTGAAATGCTCCTCTTCCCACAATTGCAATGAAAGGGGTGGGGGGGGGGGAAGGTGTCCTGCTGAGCAGGAGGTTGGTCTAGAAGACCTCCAAGGTCCCTTCTGAATAGAAGAAAAGAGGAATAGAAATAGAAATAAGAATAGAATTCTTTATTGGCCAAGTGTGACTGGACACACAATGTGCATATTATTACTCGTTATATCCTATTACATATTATCCATAATTATATGTTCCGTGTGTTGACGTGTTGTCTTTCGTCCTGTAGCATGTCCGTGACTCAGGCCATGGAGTGGCTCATCGAGCACGCCGACGACCCCACGGTCGACGCCCCCATGCCAGGCCACGTCCCCGTGGAAAGCGCAGCCGAAGAAGCAGGGTCTGCCATCCCCCAGGCGGTCAACGGGGCCAGCTCAGCGGAGGAGCCCAAGGACGAGCTGACGGAAATATTCAAGAAGATACGAAGGAAACGAGAGTTTCGTCCGGATCCGCGGGTACTGTCCCTGCTCCGGGTTTTCCCACCCGCCAGCCCTGTTTGCCCCCACCTCCCTCCCAAGTATAATGGACTCCCAGGACTGCTCTAAGATAGCCAGTCTTCTGTCTCGGTACTCCTTGACTTACAACTGATCACTTAGCAACCGTTCAAAGTTACAACAGAACCCCCCGCCCCTTCCCAAAAGCTATTATCCAGTTTCAAAGTTCTGACAACACACAAACACACACACACAACCTCTGCAGTCACATGGCCGCATTTCAAGCGTTTGACAACTGACCCACATTTATGCTGTTTGCAGTGCCCCCATGCTTGCATTACTGCAATTTACAGTCTTTTTTTTTTTTGTTGGAAACTTCTTTACTTCCAATTTCTGGTTCCCAGGGAGCAATGAGTTCGCTTAAGGACCATTGCAAAAAAGGTCGTAAAATCGGGACCGGTCACTTGGTGCCCTACTTTAAAACTCTTGGGGCCAGGCTCTATAACAGTCTTATCTCAAGGACGACCTGTTGTTGTTTTCAGGGCAGCTGCTAGGGGTGCCAACCCTTCCCTCTGAGCTGTTTCTCTGTCAGCTTCATCCCCAGGACATAAAGTTTTTTTCCAACTGTTGCCCGTTTTTTTTTCTCGCCCCATAGAAGGAATGACAGGTCCTCCCCATAACTCCCTTCCCACGTGGCACATCTAACAGAGAAAGCCTCCAGCTTTTAAAATAATTATTTTTTTCTTTACTTCCACTGGAACCGGAGCTGTTTAAGGAGCCAAAGGCTGGGCGAGGGGATGCCCAGCCATTCCGTGTCTCCTTCGGGTAGCCTGCTCACCTCTAATCCCCTATTTCCACCAATTGCTGTCCTGCTCTGAATTCCTCTTCCCCTAAAGCAGCCAAGCCTGCTACTTTAGCAGCTGTTCACGACTTTCCTCCATCCAAAACTACCTGCTGGCCTTGGGAGTCCTGGGAAAGAGGCGCAGGGACACCGTTTGCCCCCCCCCATGTAAGCGATTCCGTGGTTCTCTTTCAGGCGGTGGCGGCCTTAATGGAGATGGGCTTTGACGAGAAAGAAGTGGTGGACGCCCTCAGGGTTAACAACAACCAGCAAAACGCCGCCGTGAGTCTCTCCCGACTTAAGCAGGGCAGACCCGCTTCTCACACGCAGCTTATCCAGGGGCCTGAAGTCCAGGGGGGGACATGGCAGCTTCTCCCAATGTTTGAGGGGCTGCCACAGAGAAAAGGGGGTCAACCTATTCTCCAAAGCACCTAAAGGCAGGACAAGAAGTAACTGGTGGAAACTTATTAAAGAGAGATCCAAACTAGAAGGAAGGAAGGAGGAATTTCCTGACAGAGAGAACAATTAATCAGTGGAACGACTTGCCACCAGAAGTTGTGGGTGCTCCCATCACTGGAGGTTTTCAAGAAGAGATTAGACAACCATTTGTTGGGGATGGTGTAAGGTCTCCTGCCTTGAGCAGGGGGTTGGACTAGAAGACCCCCCTTCCCATCATATAATTCTGTGTTCTGAATTGCTTCGATGGGTTCCTTCAAAAACCCCGCTGACTGCATGTTTAGCGAGATAACGATGATGATAACAATTAAATTTGTAATCCACCCAATTCTGGATGGTTAAAATAAAAGTAAAACCTTTTTCCAAGGGGGTTGTGTTCTTGGAAGAGTTTGCTCTGGGTTTTTTTTTTTTACATTTCCCCAATCTAGCCAGAGATTTCCTGGTAGGTTCCCATCCACACACTAACCGAGCCTGATCCTGCTGAGCTTCCAAACTCAGACAAGGTCAGTGCCAAAGCAGAATTGAAATTGGATTGAATACTTCATTTGGCCACGTGAAGTTAGACACACAAGGAAAATTTGTCTCTGGTCCAGCAGCTCTCAGCATACATGCAAAGCAACAGAATAATGATAATAACCACAAAAATAATACCAGTAAGAGGGGAGCGTAAGAAAATAATAATGATAAACAATAATATCCAACCATACTACATGGGTAAATACACATAGACATTAGACAGCTCTGTGAGAATTAGCTGTTCAGCAGAGCGATGGCAGGAGAGTAGTTAAACCAGACCAGGCAGCCATAGTATAAATAAATGACAGAATCAATTGAGTTGATTGCACTTCTTCTCGTCCTTGGAGGGATGCAAAGAGGGTCATCCTTCGTCTTTTTTCCCTCCGCTCAGTGCGAGTGGCTGCTGGGCGACCGGAAGCCGACCCCAGAAGATTTAGACAAGGGGATTGACCCTGCCAGTCCTCTTTTCCAAGCCATCTTAGAAAACCCCGTGGTGCAGCTGGGGCTGACCAACCCTAAAACTCTACTCGGTAAGTCCCACGGCTTCCCAGGAATTTCGGTCCAGACTCCGGAGACGTGGAAGACGGACCGAGTTGCGGACGTAAGGCGAGGTGGGGGACTAAGCTCTACCCTCTCTTCTTTTCTCTGGCAGCTTTTGAAGACATGCTTGAGAACCCCTTGAATAGCACGCAGTGGATGAACGACCCCGAAACTGGGCCGGTCATGTTACAGATCTCCCGGATCTTCCAGACCTTGAATCGCACCTAGAGGGATCCGGCTATCTCCGCTCCGCTATGTTGGATTTTCCGCTTTGCTCCGATCCCAGAAGGAAGCCGAGGCGCCGATGGGCAGCCGAGCTCTTCGGGAAGGCGCCCGACGCGTGTTTTCTTTTGCCTTTTGAGTCTTTGGGTTGACGTGTTAACGGACTTTCGGTTTGGTTGCACTTCCGGCTTCCGCCCTGCGCCGTTTCTCTGTTTTTAGGTGGTGGTGGAGACAGTGGGATGAGACGCCCTTTCCTTTTCTTTCAAGTGTTTCTATTAAAAGAGAGAGAGAGAGAGAGAAAATCAGAAAACGATCCATCCTTATAATCGGAAATGGCGTTTGCAATTAGGAATCCAGCGATTGGAAAAATAAGACAGCCTCATCCGTACGTGCAGAACTTCGGGAACGGCACAGGGCTCGTTTGCTCTTTCTCGGGACGTTTGGTTTCTCCTCTTAAGTTATTTCTGTTGTAAAATACAGAAGGATTTTTAAACTGACGGTGTGAGAGTTTTTGCTTCACGAGACCCAGCAACCAGCCCTGCCTTAGGGATGTTAAAAATCTTTCAGTCCCTTCTGATTTTTTTTTTTTAAAGCCATTTTTAACAAGACACATCCCTGAAACACATTTGGGGTATGTGCCAGAACATCGCCCTGTCTCCCAACCTGAGCAGGGAGACCTCTTGAAGTTTTGTCAATGAACGGAGTGATCGTTTAGCACCTGGCATGTACTTACGACGGTTGCAGTGTCCACATGATCCCCTTTTGCAATCTTCCGACAGGCAAAATCAATGGGGAAAGCCGGATTCATTTAATGACTGTGGGACTAACTTAACAACTGCAGTTATTAACAGCCGTGGCAAAAAAGATCGAAAAATGGGGCAAAGCTCATTTTAACAACTGAAATTTTGGGCTCAAACAGTGGAACGGAAGTTGCCTCCAGAGGTTTTGGGTGCTCCATCACTGGAGCCTTTTAAAAAGAGACTGGACAGCCAGTTGTCTAAAATGGTATAGGGCAGTGATGGCTAACCTTTTTGTGCCCCCCCCCCGCATCTGCGCACAACCCAGCAAAAAGGTTACCGGTGGGCCCGTTTTTTTGCCCTCCCCAGGCTCCAGAGGCTTTTTTGGAGCCTCGGGAGAGTGAAAACAGCCTCCCCTCCCCCCCCAGGCGGGAAACGGCACGTTTCCTGACTTCTGGTGGGCCCACAAGGCCTGAAAATCAGCTGGCCGGCACCCACATGTGTGCTGGAGCTGAGCTAGGGCAACACTTGTGTACCCACAGATATGGCTCCCTGTGCCACCTGTGGGTGCCATAAGTTCGCCATCACGGGTATAGGGTCTCCTGCTTGTGCAGGCAGGGGCGGTTGGACCAGAAGACCTCCAAGGTCTCTTCCAGCTGTGGTGTTCTGCCTCTGGGGAATTAAAAGCCCAGGGAAACAGCCAAGGATTTGTGCAGGAGGGATTTGGCACCGACCCTGCTGGAAAAACCTTGCACGCAACACACTTAAGCCGCCAATTAGCTCTGCCGCCTCTCCGCCGAGCCTTGCGCTGCCGCTTCCCACGGGTCGGTTGTGCATTCCCAGAGCGCCAGAGCGGGTAAACCCAGGGCCAATGAGCCGTGATTCAGCGGACGGTACAAGCGCACGTTTGGTGCAAGGGCAAGCTGAGGCTGCAGCAGGAAAGCGGGTGCCATTGCTGGTGGGCAGCCAGCCGCATCAACCTTGGGGGGAGGAGCAGTGGGGGGGGTTTGCTGTGCCTGTGGAATCCGCCCCCACCAAAGTCTTGATTCTGCTTCGCCTTTAGTGGGGCAAGAACGATTTAAGGATTGAGAAGCTGGAACAATTGGCATTTTCTGCAGCATTTCTTTGCAGCCCCCCCAGGCAACTGGGGGGGGGGGGGGGGCAGCTGTGGCCATGCCTTGTTTTGCACTGCAAGGGCATGCCTGAAGGGGGGAGGGGGATTTGATCTCCAATTCTCTTTCCCCCCCCCGTTTGGAAAGCTGGGGGGGGGGCTTTCTGCAACAGCTTGTGTCATTTGCAAGCTAGGTCGGAGACGTGCAACATGTAACATGCATGCAACAGCCCCAAAGAGCCTTCCCCCCTCCCCCCCCTCCAGCGCACAATAGGGCAGGAAACTCCCGCGCGCAGCAGCCTTTCTCCGCAAACGCACGCGTTCCCCCCCCTGCCCGCGCATGCGCGCCCGCCGCCCTACTTTCGCTCGCCCCCGCGGGCATCGGGACCAGATAGAGCCAGATCGCCCCGCCCACTCCCAGCCTCTGCGCTGCCTATTATAACCCCCGGCCACCAATCCAAAGGGAAGAGGGGCGGGCTCTCGGCCCTCAGCCCCGCCCCTTCGTTCAAAACATCGCCCGCTGGAAAAAAAAAAGTGAAGCGCGCTTCAAGAGGGGAGGGGGAGACGCCGCGCCACCGCGCTTGCGCAGAACGCTGTTCTTCTCGAGGAGGGCCGCTTGACCTCTCTTTATTCCATTACTCCTGTAGGGGGGGGGGAGGAGAAAGAAAGGCGCCTGTGCGCTTGCGCAGAAGGCAGACAGGCGGAGGGCGGGAAGCAGGGAGCCGCGCTGACGTCTTTCTCTTTCTCCCTCTTCTCTTTTTCTCTCTCCTTCTTTCTCTCGCGGCCGCGCATGCGGCTTAGCTCGGCTTCATCCTCTCTCCTGCTGCCACCCGATTGGGGAGAGGGCTTAACAGGCCCCGCACGCGCCTGCGCGCTCCCCCGCGGGCCTTCGCCCGCCGAGGAGAGGAGGCCCTCCGCGCCTGCGCACCGCCTCCCTCGCCGTCTCCTAGCGTCCGGCAGGGGCCGCGTCTGCGCCTGCGCGCCTCAGGGGGCGGGAGAATCCTCCGAGTCGGGCCCCGCTGCGCGCAGTCTCCGTGCGCGCCTTCAGTCGGCTGGCGGCCGCGGGAGGGCGAGGAGAAAAAGCGCCTCTCTGCGCCTGCGCAGCGCTCGCCCCTCGCCTGGAGCAGCCTGAGGAGGAGGAGGAGGCGGCGGCGGCGGTCATCGCGTGAGGGGACCCGGGCTCGGCCACCCAGCGCCGCCTCGGTCGACGCGCGGCCTTGCGGGCGGGCCGTCGGAGCGCCGTCGGAGCGGGAGAGCGAGCGAGCGAGCGAGGCAGGCGGCGGCGGCCGGGCCAGGCCGGTCTGAGGCGAGGCGAGTCTCCGCGCTCCCTCCTCCCTCAACATGTCGGCGCCGGCGGCCAAAGTCACCAAGAAGGAGCTCAACTCCAACCACGACGGGGCCGACGAGATCTCCGGTAGGCGCGGGAGGGCGGGCGGGCGGGAGGGCGGGCGGGGCCGGGCTCCTTCTTGGCTTCTCTTCCCTCGCCGCTCGGCCGCCATCTTCCCCGGAGGCGCGAACGGCGGAGGCGGAGGAGGCAGGCGGGCGAGGGGGCCGGATGTGCGGCCTGCAACGCCGATCGCCGCCTGGACGGCCTCCCTCTCCCCGCCGAGGAGGAAGAAGAAGAGGAGGAGGAGGAGGAGGCCATCTTCGGCGCCCCTTTTGTCTGCCGCTCCAGCGAGGCCCAGCCGGCCCGATGGCGCCGATCCCTCCCCTCCTCCCCCCCCCCCTCACGCCGATTAGGCCGCCATGATGGCTGCGCTCGCCGCATGGCCGGGGGCCCCGCGCTCTCCCCTCCCCTCCCCTCCCTCTTCGGGGGCGCCACGTGCGCTCCTCGCCCGCCCCCACCCCCCCCCCCCCCCCCCCCTCGCGGGGGGGGGGGGCGCCCCCCCCTCCCCCTCCCCCCCCCCCCCCGCCTGCGAGGGCCGCACGTGCCGGGGAAACTTGGCGCCCGGCAGGTGGTTCGTCCCGGAGGGGGTGGGAATTTTTATATATATATTTTTTTTCCTTCCTCCTCCTCCTCCCCCACCCCCACCAGGAGGAGGGGAGGGGGCGCCTTCCGGCTGCAGGAGCTGCAACGAATGTGGGATGGATTGGGATTCCCAAGAGGGGAGGGGGGGAAACTTCCTTAAGGTGGGATGGGGGGGGTCTTCTTTCTTTATTATTATTTTTCCCCGCCTTTAGATGCGGCTGGGAAGTTTTTGAATTTGGGGTGGGCTGCTCCTGTTGTGGGAGTGGGGGTGGGGGGCAGAATTGGACCGGAAGCGAAAGGAGTGGGCGGCTTTTCTTACGGTTCAGGGCACCGCCAGATGTTTAGACTCGGATTGGGGGCCTTTTTTAAAAAAAAAAAAAAATCCGCCCGTTGTTCCAGCCAAGTTTCATTCAATCCCGCCTTTTTTTTTTTAAAGAGCCTCGTTTTCCCCTCCCCGCCACGACAATCCTGGGAGGTGGGTTGGGGCGGGAGAAAAGGGGACTGGCCCGAAGTCACCTGGCCAGGTTGCTAGGCCAAAGGGAAGGACTGAACCCAATGCAAGCGATTGCACGCCCCCCCCCTTTTAAGCAGATATGGGAGGGAGACTCGTGTTTCTGTTGCAAGGGGGGGCTTCCCTTCCTGGAGGGAGGATTTGGGGTTGCTGCCGAAAGAGAAAGGCCAAAATGTTCAAATCTGTTTTAAGGGTGCCGGATTTAGCAAAAGTTCCGGGACTCTTGACGCCATGTGTGATGTCTGAAAACATTGCCTTGTCCCCAGTTTGATCCTTTTTGAAACTTTTATTTTCCCTCCAGACAAAGAGCAGCAGGAAGCAATTGAACATATTGATGAAGTACAGAATGAAATAGACAGGTAAACCATGTGTTTAATCTGCTTTTAAAAGTGTTTTGTGGTTAGTTTGCTATCCTGTAAAAGGACTCTATTGGAAATAGGTTTTCCTGATTTAATAACTAGCTTGATAGGATGTAGTCTAAGATGATTTTTAATATATAGAATTTCAATAAAATTTGAACTTGGAATTAGTTGAGAAAAAATCTCTCCCCCCCCTTTTTTTTTTTTTATTTATTTAAACAATGTAACACAATTGGCTGTTTCAGGGTTTTTTTCCCACCCACTGTTTTGAGGATTTGACATAAATTGTAACATTTCTGCAAAACAAGAACTCTCATGCAGAACAATTAAAATGGTTTAATGCTCAATTCATTTCTTTCATACACTGGAACTTCTCAGTTGAGGTTTTCTACCTAAAGCCAAAACAAAATCTTTCTGTGATAAATGTTACATTTGATGAAGTGTGGATTTGGCATTTTGCTATGTGAAAGCTTCCATGTTGGGTTAAAATCTGCTTAATACTCTAGCTTTCGGTACCACATAAAGGTTTTTACACATGTTTAAATCTTGTATTCAGACTGAACGAACAAGCCAGTGAGGAAATTTTGAAAGTAGAACAGAAATACAACAAACTCCGCCAACCATTTTTCCAGAAGAGGTCAGAATTGATCGCCAAAATCCCCAACTTTTGGGTAACAACATTTGTCAACCACCCACAAGGTAAGCAAAGTTGTTTATTTTTCTGAAAATTTACAAAACATGTAGTCGTTCATATCACATGCAAATGAAAGTCTTGAAATGCAAAGGTCCTTAGTTAGCTAGTTCCTATTT